CTTTCAGATGACACCTGGATTTCCTGATTTGGACCATTCTCAGTCATTTTAGAGTCGAAAATAGGAAGCCAACTTTACGCGGGAAGAGGCACTGCTACGTGTGGATAAAGGTAGAAATCCAACAAAAATACGAAGCATTAGGACAAGAACTGCTGCCTTCTTTCCAAGATATTTCAGTAACTGCAACGAATATAGAAACGAAACTTACGTCACTGAGTAGCAGAACATGTGCCCTTTCAGATGACACCTCGATTGCCTGATTTGGACCATTCTCAGTCCTTTTAGAGTCGAAAATAGGAAGTTAATTTCATCCGAGAAGATGCACTGATACGTGTGAAAAATAGGAAAATCAGAGAAAATACGAATCAGTCGCACGAGAAAGGTTGCTCGATTGCCTGATTTGGATCATTCTCAGTCATTTGAGAGTTGAAAATAGGAAGTTAATTTTACTCGGGAACAGGCACTGTTACGTGTGAACAATAGGACAATCAGAGAAAATAGGAAGCATTAGGACAAGAACTGCTGCCTTCTTTCTCAGATATTTCAATAACTGCAACAAATATTGAAATGAAACTAACATCACTGTGTAGAGGAACATGTGCCCTTTCAGTCTTCCTTCAGTTTAGTCTTCCTCGTTAACTTCATCAGCACTACACTTTCAATGGTATTAGTCCGCCGGCGTGTTTCTTAATAAAAACACTGCAGATCCTACTACAGTAGATCCATTATGGCGGCGTCTTTTCTTTCTTTTCTTTTCTTCGGTGTCTCTGCTTGGCCTCGTGCTTAATTTCATTTACATTTCAGCTACATTTTTGCAAGCACGTAATAATGATTGATGTATTGCATCTTAGAATGGATTTCCAAGAATTATTAGAAAACTCAGAATTAGATCAGGAAAAGCGTAAACATTGTTGTGGCTGACGTTAATGATATATATTTCCTGAACACAATGCTGATTAGTCACAAAGCTCGTTCTGATTAGATTTGATTTAAAAGGAAAGGAAAAGAGTTTTATTCAACAACTGAATCTTAATGAAAACATAAAGTTAGAAAGAATCCACGAAAAAGAACAACAGAATTAAGTTCTGGTACCTATGGCATGTACTGTGCAAGCACGGGCCGGGGAAGGAAATGAAAGAAAACAGTACAGGCGCCCTCTATAAACACCATGAAGCTAAGGGCGACAGCACGCCGACGCGTCGCGTCGCGTCGTGTCGTGCGTCGTGCTTCAGGCGACGCGATACACGACACGATGCAACGGGCGACGGAAGGGTCGTCGTTTAGGCGGAAAAAAAATGAAAATGCAACAAGGAAAGGACCTAAGACAGCACGACGCGACGGGCGACGGCACAAGGCAACGCATGACGCGATGCGTGTGTAAAAACGAAATGGCAAGAAGGCGACGGTTCGACCCGACGGCACGACGCAAGGGAGCCGTCGTGCCGTCGCGTCGTCTAGTTGCATCTCCTGGAGGGAGGCAAGAGAGAGAGAGATAAATGTTTGTCGTAAATACTACACCATAATTTAGACTTTTCAGTCTGTAAAATTTTGTGGAAGAGTCTTTCAGGTTGACTTGACACGTAAAATAACATTGAAAAATAACGGCAATTTACCTCGAACTAATGTACCTGCAATGGTCGTATATCTGCATGTGCAGTGGGCGTGGTTTAAACTGAAGTGGCGTCAAGCTTGCGAACCCGATACTGCGTGTACTGTGTCGACTCCGCCGAAGTTCAACACAGGGAGCCTCGGTCTCGATGCCGATATGCGCAGACGGCGCTAATGTGAAATCCCTCTATTTGGAAATTGGGGGAAGAGACATAGCCCTGATAACAAACGCAAACACGAAGCCCTGACGAGCAACGTGGGGTCTGGGGCCCCACAAAATTTCTGGGTATAGGTGCTCTGTGGCGTGATCCAAAACTATTTTTTGCCACTTAAGTCAGTTTTAGAATAAATACGTTTGCAAAGTTTACAATTTCATTTAGGTTTTGAAAAAGGGACATGCTATCCACCCTAAAAAGTTAGGGGCTTACCCCCGTCCCCCACCTATTGACGCCCGTGGGTAGGAGAAATAAGTTCAAATAAAGATTATAGTTTGAGTCACTCGCACCTCCTATTTTTCCATTTCCACACGTATGCGTTACTTGATATTCTTCGATGGAATTAGTTGGTTCAGGTATCATATCCATGTATCATATCCATGTGCACATGCACGATATTGTACACGCTGATTAGGGCGTTGGCTCCATGGGATGTCGGGGAACGATATTTTCAGCATAATTCTTTCTTTCATAATTCTTTGAAGTTGAAGAAATGTCGTGAAAAATATCATGTTATAGTTAGTCAGGAATCCTAGTGTTCACACGTAACTTGGTCTGTTGTTCGATCAATGTTACATCTCTGTGAGCTTAAACAAAATCTTGGAATCAGCTGAAGGGGCACTGTTTCTGTGTCCACTAGTGCAAGTTTCAATTCCATATTTAAATATCAGGAATAAGCAGGTTTGAGGGAAACACAGAGCAACTGCGAATGCGCAGTACTTCAAAGACATACACTATCGGTCGTGTCGAAGGTTTACGGTTACTGAGTGCAACGTTTGTGTGAACATGTGCACATGCACGATATTGTACACGCTGATTAGGGCGTTGGCTCCATGGGATGTCGGGGAACGATATTTTCAGCATAATTCTTTCAAATTGTTCTAAACTGCACTGACGAGGAGCATATCAATAACATCGACTTAGCACAAACAGCACGTAGTGAATCGAACCTTCAGAAGTTCACATGATAGCAATCACAATAATATTACTTACCTGGATTGGTTCTGTGGAGGGACGTCGCGAGTTAGTGGTTCAGTGCAGGGAGTAACTCCGTTGAAACTCCAGCATATTCAGCATAGCAAGCGGGAATACCACAGAATTATATAATCGAATACCAAACATGCCTGAAGAGGGTTGCTCGCGGAGACACCCACTCGTTTCACCATAAAATTCGTGTTATTATTAGAGAAGGCAATAGCTCGATTCGACATATGTTTTTGAAGACAAAAAAAACCAACCTGGGAAGCCGGAAATTGAACCCAGTTTGCAGCATTCTAAGGTGTTCTGAAGAAATGCATATTATCCATAGGACTATACAGACCCAAAACGACGACAGGCCGTAATTTCAAATACTAACCTTACTCTTGTGTGTACATCAAAAAGGGCGCTGTCTATTTGTAGCAGGCTTAATATCGCTAAGTTAAGTTTGGCTGGCGGCGGCTAAATAATATCTTATGTTCATGTTGATGTAAAATTGTTCTCAATAAGGGAAACATTACAAGAAGGAGTAACAATAAAGGGCACGGGCGGCCACAATGAAAGTACCAGAAAAGTAAAAGAAATACCAGAAATGAATAAGTAGCCAACTGGCCAACTCAAACTCGGTGCATCATTCGTTGATTTTCTTTCTTACAATCGGAAACACGGCCCAGTGGATGGACAAACGTGTCCCCATTCCCACGACACCAAGACAAGATTTTTATCATAGTGAGGTCATTTAACGTAAGATATTCAGAACAAAACAATGACACAAAAGGCCAACTACTAGTGCGCTCAGTGCCGGACTGACCAGAACTCCTTTATTCGTCGATATTTCTCTCACGTTTTGAAATATATAAATGAAACATTCTCCAATGGATAGAAAAGCACGTACCCTATGGATTTTTTGGACCATTTTCAGATTGTTTAACCTCGAATGTAGATGCGAAATTTGGCACCAAAAACAAACCTGCCGACGTGAGCGTTCAGCAAGGATTTATTATTTCTTAAGTAGACAACGAAAGAGACCATGCAAGCTACAAACGGTGAAAAATAACTCCTTGACGACAAGACAGGCCGCATTTTCATTTTGGTTAACATTTATTCGTGTCGTCTCTTCAAAAACAGGCACAAAACACGATTACATGAGTCGTCGACAAACAAGCAGAATAGAATGATACAGCTTGCAATATTCACATTGTCAAAATGAGGAAATCATTGTTGAGGAAATCTGGGTATCTACTCCGCTCCTTTCGTTCAGTGCATTAATGTTTATTAACAAAACGTGTCATAGTTTACATAAAGACATTTAGATCCCATCTTTGGATAAACTGTGGCATTGACGTTTTTGTGTTTGTAAGTCCCCTACATCACCAAAGAGAGCTGGGTAAGAGTTTGAAGTTAACATCACACAAATGACATTTCTTTATCCGGGCCATGAGCTGTGGCCTCATCCTTCATCTACAACTTCTCCTTCTGGACAGCAGTAGCAAACCCAAGCCGGTTATTTCCAAAGTCGAACTCCGAGTAGTACCGCCTTAGAAACGGATCGCCCATAATAAGCAGAGGGGAGAAGCCATCTGGTGCGAAGACAGTGAAACAGATGGAGCCATTCTGCCGATAAAAAGAGAAAACTCTCTGAAATATTTATACAAGCGGCTGGGGCTGGGTCCGGGTCCGAATCAACTGTTGTACTTTAAAGGAAGGTCTTCACGCCACTGGAAAGACGCGGAGACGTGCAGAGAATGCGCCAAGCCGTAGCTCTGGAAGTCCCTTTCTGAGACAGCCTCAAGCAAACTCAAACCAATGAACCATTTCGGTATTCAAACAGCACATGCCCAAAATAAAGCACTTTATCAGAGGTCATTCGAACGCGAGTGTGGGGTCTACCTATCAGCGTGGGTGCACGTGGACTCGAGCGCGTGCTTTTATACCGAATGGCCATGTTTTTATGAAATACCGAGCTGGTCATCATTAATTTTCAAGCAGTTGGTTGGTCTCCTTTATACGAATGAAGTTCCACATTTATGTAAATCCCTGACTTGGTACAAAGCAGGACGGCAAAACCAGGTCACCCTAAGTAAATAAATGTAACTTTTTTTGGGGGGGGGGTTGTTTTTGGTCGAAACGTGGCAAGCCAGTGGTGCCGGTGTAGGAGACAAAGCTGCGGCCCATTGGCCACAGGATGGAACCATCGGATAGCGTTCCATTCCGGTTACCCATGGGATTAGTAATGTTTGGTGTCAATTTTACTTCACTTGTACGGCCTCACAGCGGTTCAGCCATAAACTGACCTTGCTCGCCATTGCTCAGAAGTCGCCACATCACAAAATATACTCCCCACCCAAAATTTTACTACGTCTATTCTGAAAACAAATCCCTTCGGAAAAGTGATGCAGTGTGTGGAGCAACTGTTTTCCACGTCTTCTTTGACAACGCTGTCCACTGACCGGCGACTGGGAAAGTCGGGGATAAAAGACTTACGCAAATAACTTTTCCTTGCACACACCCACCTGTTCAATGTATTCCTTCGGAGACAAGGGGAATTGTGTGTTGGCGATCATGAATATGACGTCCGGAAGACTGCCGATTTTGTCACAGTCGATGAAATACTGAAATTGGGAGCATAGCTAACTATTTTAATTGTTAAACTACTGTTGTGTAAAAGAAACACTGGTGGACTGTGACGTCAGAGTTTGTGCTTGTCTCATTGATGTTCAATCAAGAGAAAAACAGTTTGCAACCAACATGGTAGAAACAGAGATAGATGATTGTATTTGTTTTTAAATGGCAATGAAGACATTTGTCCCTTCCCAGGGAAATTTCTGTCCAAATGTACGGAATAGATTGTTGTAAGTAATGCAATTCAATATGGGGTACTTCATTATAAAAGAAAAATATCATTTCATATATCAGACCGCTGTTACAAAAACCGCGGCATCGGCTGGGATCTCATCGCCTTGGACAGTAAAAAAGCTGGACTTTTTTTTTCTTCCAACGCAGGGTTAGGGTAGTAAATCGTCTAACTGTTGGGCGAACAGATTGCCCAACTGCGTTGAGTCTCTCCTGGTAAGCGGGCAACTGTTCTCTTTTACCCAATAGTTATAACAAATGTTGTGTTACACTACCACTTTTTAACTCGGTGTTATGACTCTCTAGCTTCAAGCGATTCACCTGGGTTAAAGTGTTTTCACAGTGCGTTTTTGTTTCTTGTCATAAGAACAACATGTTACCTCCAGTGGTCTTCGAGGTCACCTATTTCTGGGTCTTGTTTATTCTCATTTATTAAAACTTCAAACTTACGAGCTGCTGTTGCGGGTCATATTTGGCTCCAAATTGGTCGTTGATTTTGGCAATCAGGGAAGTTGGTCCAACAATGAGGGAGGTACCCGTGTCTGCGATAGCCTGGCACCCTCCTTGGCACAGAGTGAGGAAACTTCCGATGTTGATGCTGAAAAACCAGCAGGAAATATATTTAATCGAATTAGCTTGTGTTTTCCGTAAATGGAATTTTCCATTGATTAAGCTTAAGTCAGCAAGACTGCGAAACATCCCATGACTTACGGAAAATAAGCTGACAGCTTTGAGTGCCAACGACATCCCGTAAAATGGACGATCAATTGCTACACAAACGGCAATTTAACTCAATAGACATGTCTATACGTTCTATGGGAAACCATTGGCACACAAACATGACTACCGGGCTACTTCCCGTTAGTGATTGGGGTATTTTCTAAGGGGTACTAGGAGAAATACTTTGTGTACAGAACAAGGTTCAGAGATTACAAAGACAACCGTTGACAACAATTGACCTTTCTGTTGGAGAAAAAACTAAAACATAAAATGAGATTAAATATTCCTTGAGTAAACACCAAATCAAAACTGTTTGCCAGGATCACGTTCATGAAAGTATACAGAGCATATGTTCGATGCTTAGCCTATTCTGACCCGTTTTACATGCTGCATTTGTTCCTACAAAAGAACGAACCTGTTTAAGGTGAACTGCCAGTACAGTGGTTGGCTGACCGGCACGTATGTGAATTCGCCCGTGTAGTGGCTTGGGTCTGATCCGCCAAGAACGAGTTCCCCACCTTTGGTGCCGTTGAAATTCCTGCAGTGGATAGCGTGTCTCAAATCACTTCCCTGACCCTTTCATCAATTCCTCTAAACATTCTCTTGAGGTTTTATTCAGTGGTTAAAATGGCAACCTTTTGAGCTTGTCACGACTCCATGTATCAGTACGTGTTTATGCTTTAACTTATCATCTACAAAAAGAGAATAGTATTCTCGGGAACAGTTGGAATCAAACCTGTCGTAATTAATCACTTTTGTTCCAAGTATTTATGTATGAAATAAAACCTTCGGCTGCACGTTTTCAATAAACAGATAAACATGAAGTGTTTTAATTAATGAACAGGAAAAGATTGTTCATGAGTTATCTTGCGATGAGTAGGCCTACATGTACCTCATTAAAAGTCTTGTGGTGGTCACTACTATGTCCAAATCACAACATTCTGTTTTGTGCGATGCTCTGACTGTGAATTGGCCGCTCGTTACCGCTTGGTTGTACTTGCCCTTGTTCCTGTGTCTGTTCTTGTCCTTGTTTTTTCCCCCTATTCTTCTTGTCCTCGTCTTTTTTCTAATCTTGTTTTCGAAGTTGCAACTGTCCTTGTTCCTTTTCTTGTTCTTGTCATTGTTTTTCTACTTGTTTTTGCCCTTGTATTTTTTTCTTGTTCTTGGTCCATGCCTTTGTTGGGTTGTTGTTTGATGGGTTGTTTGTTTGTTGTTGAGTTGTTTGTCTGTTGGGGTGTTGGGATATTTGCTTGTTTTTCGTTATTTTTGAATGGCATGTGCAATATCTTTGGTTTTTATATGTATAATTTTGTTTATTTCTCTAATCTTATCTTGTAATAATATATACATTTTTTTAATCTGTTAAAAATCCCTATAATTGGCGGCTTGCCGCTGTTGGTGATTTTTTTTATTTTTTATTTTTTGAAATAATTTAAATAAAATGTAGGCACAACTGCATGGGCATTGACTGCCCATCTACGTACTATGTACAACATATATGTGCAATTTTTTTTTTTAATTTAGAGTTGATGACCCGGATTTACTGATTCAAAAATCCTTTCAATGAGGTGTCCAAAAAATGCAGATGATAGAAATTGATACGACAGTGCATGGCGACCATCAAGTGCACCCAATGGTAGATTCTGGTCAATTTCATACAATAGAAAGTGTGACCTTAGTTAGATCAAAACACCCAGATTTGAGTGGGTTCCAGCCTCTGTACTTACACGCTCAGAAAGAACGAGAACACGGGCTTTGCAACGAGCCCCTCCTTAACCATCATGTTGAACACGGGCGTGACCCCGCCTACAGCTAAGCTTGGGTAGGCCATGCCAAGAAGACCGTCAATCGGCACACTTGAAGCAGCAAAGTCCTTGCTCATGTACGTCGCTTCCCCGAACGTCGTACCAACCACATTTAGGGTATCAACCTGTAAAAGTGGCACCATCACAAAAGATGTACATTCTGCAAAAGCCTGTTAAAAAAGTGTTAATTGCTTTCCAATGTAAAGCAAATTGTCGAGATTTTCGGCTAAAAAAGTATACACCGGAATGTCAGATTCTAACTTTTAATTCAACAAGTCCCGAAGAAGAGCTTATTCAAAGAGTGTGTTTTGCTTTGTTTTGTTTTATTTTGTTTTGGTTTTCTCTGTCAGAGTATCGATGTTAAACCTCCTAGCGTTGCAACCACAGGAAAAGTACAGCATCTCCACTAAGTTCCACGACATCGTAATAAAATCACTAAAACGTCTTCTTACCCGAACTACATCCTTGCTCAGGGTTGCAACCACGTTTCCTGTTCCATACGTAAGGCGAATAGTGGTTCCATTGGGTTGGTATGTGGAGGACCTGGAATGGTTGTATTTGTGATGATGTGCTGGATATTAATGAAACAAAGAGCAAAAGAGAAAATTGTTACCAGCTAACAACTACGCTGGCTCCCTGCATTGTGTGCCGTGACAATCCCGATTTGTCCCGGGTGCGGTTCAGGCCGGTATGCTTGGCGCGAAAGTGATTGCGAACGCAATTTCGTGACGTAATATCACATACTATCCACAATGCAAATTTGCAATGGCTGGCACTGGACCAATTAAAAGACCTTAGGGGTGCACCACTACAAATAAATTCCAATAGACGGCAGTGATAATTCCCC